AAATTTGAACTTATGCAGAAGTAGAATCTTATGGACATTCCACTTCAGCTCCTATAATTATTAATCTTCAGCCAATTTACACCTCCATTCACTTCATCCCTCTATCATTTTGAAGTAGATCCCATTCACCCTGTCATCCCATCCATAAATATTTTGGTATGTGTCTCTACAATGACAAGGGCTCTTGTATTTTGCTATCTGCTGCCAGACTTTTCCCAAAGGATAGTAACAATTCACATATCCCTTCTATCAGGTAATCACTTTTATGTTGGTTTATTCTTTCATTATTTCTTTTAAAAATACAAGAAAATATATCAATATCCTTTTTAAAGTTCTCTTTGAAAAGAGAAGCTGTTTTCCTAACCTGACAGGTAAATCCTAGCTAGACACAAGATTCTTATGTTCTAGTTCTTTTCTCTCACTAGTCTTGTCTTTCACCATTGCAAACTAGAAACCCAATGCCAATCTGATTATATTTCTTTGTAAGCAACTTGTTAAGTTCAGAGCTAAGGAATTTGGCCAATGTATATTTTGAATATGTTATGTATGTTTTCATTAATTTGCCTGGAGTTCATCGAGTTTTCATACCTTTGACTCTTTCAAATCTGCTTTTCTTCTACTATTTGTATAATTATTGCACATCTACCATCTGTCTCTTTTTCTCTTTTAAATTCCTATACCGACATTAGATCTGTTAGGTTTCCTGAGTCTATTCTCTTTTATCTTTTCTTTCATGATTCTTTCTCTTTGTATGTTTGCTGTATCATACAAAAATAACATGATTTAAGTCTCAATAGTGACTGCTCCATCATGTGAACTGTTTAGCTATCTAGCAATGTTTTGCTAGCTTTTAATGTCTTTTTGTGCAGTATCTGAATTTCCTTAAGTTCCTAGTTTTGTTGCTGAAGTTAGGTTTCTTCTAGTTACTTCATTTAGTGGGGTTAACATGTTTGTTCAAACTGTTTGAACAGTTTGTTTAAACTGACTGTTCTCTCTTGTTTCTAGGCAACACTGGAGGATTGTTACCTTTTTTTCCACCAGTTCACTGCAATCTAATGTTGAAGTAGTCCAAGTGGCAGACCTCCTGCAAGTAGTAGAACGTAAGATAGCCTTAACCCATGTGGCTCCAAGTCAGCAGCTGAAACACCAAGAGGAAGCCTGCCTGCTATCTAATGTCAGGTCTTCTGATACTTTCCTAGTCCTAATGATGGGCTAATACAGCCTGCACAGAGGTTCAGGGAATGGAAAAACCTGATGTAATCTTTAAGGGCCAGTTTCTTAACCTATTTCAATACATATTTACTGAGCAGTATTTTACCCAGCACTTAAGCAGCTCATTTTTTTTAAGAGTGAAGAGATAAAAACAGACACTAAAAGCAAAGTTACCAAAGTTACCACATTTACAATTTTGATTATAGTTTTAGTCCCATTCATTAACATTACTTTCTTCAAATACTAATTGATGTCAATCTTTTATATTTTTCATTCTTTTTCAGCTCTCACACTGTCTCCCCCTCTTATAATCAGCCCGACTTTGAGATGGGTGATAATCGAGAGGAACCTCTGGTAATTTCTTAAATGAAACAAAGGAACAATCCCATTTTTTGCTGGTCTCTTCTGAAAATTATGAAATATGTATCAGGCTTTTCCCTTAATATACCATCTTAAGAATTTCTTAGTATTTAAAAAAATGAGTTTAATAATATCCTGAACCTTCCATGTGCCATTTACTTTAACTAAGTTTTGTGTAAAATTCACCCAAAGAATAAATTATCTATTAAAAACAGGTATAATTTTTTAGTCTTGCTCAGTTTTTAAAAGTTTGATATGCCTTCCAAGACACTTATTTTTTCTCCTTTTTCTTTTCTATATAATTTATCTGTTCAAGAATCAGATCCTTTGGGTTGGCGGTGTGGCTCAAGTTGTAAAGAACTTGCTTTGTAAGCACAAGGTTCTGAGTTTAAGTCACAGTATCAAAAAAAAAACCCAAAAAATAAAAAACAAAAAAGAATCAGATCCTTTGGGTTTCTCACAATCTGGGTTTTATGACTTGCCTACTCTTGGTGTAGATCAATAGGCTGCTCTGAAATTGGAACTTCCTGTAAACTGGCAGCTGGATTCTTAGGACTGAAGACACTAAGGTTTCCTTTGACAAGTCCAGAGTGGTAGTATGCTCTTTCATCAAAAGTACAAAATGTTTTCATTTTATTTAATGTTAGAAATTGCTGATGCTCAATGCTAAGAAAGCATTAACTAACTAGAAGTATTAAGTAAGATTGTCAGATTTTAACTTTTTTCACTTATTTTAGCTGAAAAAATACTTTTTAATCCATAACCACATAGAAAAGAGGATTTTTTTTGCTTATTTAATTTTTAAGATAAACTGGCTCTGTATTACATTCTGATGACAAATTAATCTTTAAATTATTAAAATGGATTCCAAACCTTTGCAATTAATAGCCTTATTGGATATCACATTATCTCATCTTTGGCCAATGATAAACAGCTTTAAGTTGTGTCCTAAGACCTTTTGGTAAGAACTTTTCTTAGTCTTTTTTTTTTTTTCCTTGGCAGCACTAGGGTTTGAACTCAGGGCTTCATGCTTGCTAAGCAGGTGCTCTACCACTTGAGTCACTCCACTAGCCCCTTAAGAGTAGTCTTTGATACTTTCTGGACATCTGGAATGAAAAGATGTTCTAAGCTCATCTTATATATTTTCTGCCTCTGACAGTGAATGAACTTTTTCTAAGAAAGTCTGAGTTTCTTCTAGGAGAACGTATTTTAAGGTCATGTGGGAGCTAGGAATGATTATTGCTCATTGCTTTTAGGTCTTTTTAATGGACACAGCAGGAAATTTTATGTGTTCATATATATTTTAAATTTTATTTGGAAATAATTATAAATTCATAAATTGTTAGAAATATAAAAATACTAAGCACTAAATATCCTTTACTCAGATCTGCCTATTGTTAATGTTTTATAACCTTGACTTATAATTTCCTTTCTCTCAGTATCTGTATGTATGTATGTATGTGTGTATGTATGTATGCACATAATTCTTCCTGAAGAATATGGGAGTAAGCACATACATCATGGCCCAATCCTCATATATACTTCAGTATTTCCTAAAATAGTGTTTCCTTTGATAGCAAAAATGTTATGCTGCCACAGTACAATTGTCAAGCTCTAAGTTTACACTGACACAGTAATATCTTCTGTCCATATTCCTTGTTAAATGATCTAATAATGCTATTCATAATGATTTTTCCCCTCCAGTACAGGATCCATTTTAGGAGCAAATATTGCCTTTATTATCACCCTTTAAAATACTCTAAAACATGCTGAGTATGGTAGTACACACCTGTAATCCCATCATTTGAAAGAGGCAGAAGGATTGCAAGTTCAAGGCCAGCCTGGGTATACAGTGGGACACTGTCTCAAACAAAACACAAAAATCTGAAACATTTCTATTACTTTATTGATATCTCATAATACTGCCATTTCTCATTCTTATGACATGACACTGTCTTTATTTAAAAAAAATATATAACATTCAGCATGATTATACAAACTCAGCTAGAAATTCAGTGGTGACACTCTATTTCTCTAGTATCATATCTGGAGGCACAGGATGTACAACTCTCCTTTTTTGACGATATTTATTCTGATTATACAGTCTAGGCATTACTAGGTTTCTGTACTATATTGTCATTGGTTTGTTTTGTTTCTCCCTCTTTTCAGATTAAAAGGCTATGTAAAAATCTTGCTCCAGAGGGGATAGTGGCTCACACCTATAATCCCAGCTATTTGAGAGGTAGAGATCAGGAGGATCATGGTTTGATGCCAGCCCAGGCAAAAAGTTAGTGAGACCCTATTTGGGCTGGGTTCATGGCGCAAGTGATAGATTGCCTGCCAGGCAAGCACAAGGGCCAGCCCTGAGTTCAAACTTCCAATACTGAAAAGAAAATAGTGATAAAGTATTAATATTCATAATCTACACTCTTTTTCAAAAATTTTTTTGCACTGCTGAAGATTGAACCCAGGACCCTGCACATGCCAAGCAAGCACTCTACAACTTAGCTACATCCTCAGCCTTTGAACATATGTTCTTTTAGGTGTGCTTGTACCTGAAAGACAATTAATGTGTATTACAGAAAAGTAAATGGTAAAACTTTCTGCTTGAAAACTACAGAGATTTTTCTATTGCCCTCTGAAAACAGCTGAGATTAAATGAGCATGATTTGGTTTTAAACTCCTCATATGCAATATTACAAAAGTAATACTACCTGTTTATAGGACTTCTTTAAAATTTTATGAGGACATGGCCATAGACTGATATAATTCTTTTTCATTGATTATTGCCTGAAGTATGATAGGTCCTTCCAATCTGTACAGAAAAGACATTCTTCAACATAGGAAAACTTTGTTACAGTTTTTGTTTGCTTTTTTTTTTTTAACTACAAGTATGCCAAACATTTTCTAAAATATTAACATAGGTCTTTCTTTTTAAAGAACTGTGTTTTTAAAGAAAGTGCCTCTACCCTGCAACAATGTCCAACTAAATCACAAGCAAAAATGCAAAGATGACTTCTTAATGTCAGAAAAGGAAGTGAAAGATTTGGTTAGTAGCTCCACAGTATATAACAGAATGAAAACAAGTCAGAGTAGTAGCACTGGGGGATAGGAGGAGGTTTCTAAAATAAGGCTGAATGTAATAAAGAAATAATACAGCAATTTACAGAAAAGAATATCTAGAAATAGGGCAACAGTGCTGACTCCATTCACACAAGGTGTGGCAAACATGTAGGTTACTAATGCTACTATTCTTAGCTAGCTAGATAAACATTATTCTAATAACAGCTAGCTAGCATTATTCTACAGAGCTCAAACATGTCATGTTATTATACACTAACCCAAAATGTTCTACCAAATATCGTATCTGGATATAAATTATATATATATATAAACTGTATTTTGAATATAGATTATCTAAAACAAACCTGTGTAACTTTCATCATCACCAGACAAAGGCACTTCTCTTTTCAGCAGCAACTCTAACTCCTCTGTTTCAGCTACATCCACTGGACGCTCCCCATGTTTATTTGCTTGAAATGGATTTCCACCATGACGAAGTAACAGTTTCACTATCTGCAACGTTAAATAGTAGTAAGTTAGTCTCTTTATAGATATTATCATTTTCACCATTTTGTTGATTAACACTCACAATATCCTTCTAAATATTATTTCATCTGCTGTGCATCCATTACTCAGTGTCTATTATAAATCAGTATTTACTGAAATACTTGCTCCTGGTTCCATTTTCATTAAATCCTCACCTCATCTGATGACCTCATCTACTACAAACAAATTTCCTCCTTAAAACAAACTGGGCTATTTTAGTACTTAATCTCATCCTTTTTCATCATAAAGCCAAAAAAATATTTATTGAGCCATGTATTAATAAGCACTGTTCCAACTTCTGCTGGTAATTCCACGAATAAGAATAACAAGCTCTCTAGCCTCTTGAAATGTATATTTTAGAAGGTCTCTCAAAAGAAGTATTTTCCTTCAGTTTAAGGCTAACATCACTATCAATGCTCTGAATTTTACCTGTTCTCCATTTCCCAGGGACTTTAACTGTCATTAGTTTACATGGATTTACTTAGAATGAAGAGTAACCTTCAAGGCCCTTTGTTTTCATGGGTCCCTTACAAGACCCTGTATCTAATTTTGTATTTACTACTTTGAGGGCTGGGTACCAGTGGCTCATCCCTATAATCCTACCTACTCAGGAGGCAGAGATCAGGAGGATCACGGTTTGAGGCCAGCCCAGGCAAAAAGCAAGACCCTATCTCAAATATACCCAAAACACAAAAAATGGCTTGTGGAGTGGCTCAAGTGGTAGAGTGCCTGCTGAGCAGGTGTGAGGCCCGGGGTTAAACTCCAGTACCATTAAAACAAACAAAAACCCTCTCTTTCTCCAACAATTTATGTTTCAAGTTCCATAAAACAAGCATCTGTGCAGTCAGCTGCCACCTCATTTCATTTTTTCTTATCATCTTCCTTTCTATATTTTTAACCTCTTTTGACTGGCTTTTATCTAAAAGACAATCTTTCCAGTTCATGTATCTTTCACCTTAAAAAATACTTGCAAGAAAGAAATGAGACACGAAGAATGAAACGTTGAAACCTACACTCCCCTCTCCTTTAGTTAAAGCTTTCATTTCTTCATAAATTCCTCAAAAAGATGCTTAACCTTGATTTTTTTTTTAAATTATCCTTTCATTCTTCTACCTACAGCTCTGTTACCATGTTCTATGAAACGGCTATTCTAAATGTGAAGAGATCTAAACCAATGATTATTTTCTTATGACTCTGTCCTTGATCTACTTTTTCATGACATAGTATGTATCACTTTTAGAGATGTCACTCATTCTATATGAGTGTCATGATGTGTATGCAATTCATTCATTTCCATTCTCTTGTTTGTGCGCGTTCTCTCTCTCCCTCTGCCTTTTCTTAATCTCTAAACCCAAATATTCAAATGCTCACTGGGTACATCCAATTGAATATATGTACATTTTAATACAAAAGTGTAAACCCAGTAAGTCCCAAATTGGAGTTCACTAAATTTGTACCCTTACTGTTTTTATCTATTTTCAGCGACTGGTTCTAAAACCTACTCAGTCACCAAAGTCAGAATCCTGGGAGTCATTACAAACTCTTCTTCTCCATTTATACTCAACATCACAGAAATAGCCAAGTGTTAATTCTGCCTCCTTACTATCTCTTCTAGTTGTAATCTTCTATTTCCACTGACAATGATGTGTTACATATGCATTATCACATGTAAACCTATAATCTAATATAATTTATTAACATATCCCCCCCACACTTATTTTACATATAAGCTGCATATGGAATTAGGTCTGTAGAATGTAAAAACAATAACATAAAACATGAAAATTAACTGAATTTACCAATAAGGGGACAATTAAAAGCAAGATCATTTATAAAAACTTTCTAATAAAAGTATTTAAGAATGAAGATTCACAATGAATTACACAATGAAAAATACAGGTTATTGTAGAAATTTTGAAATATAAGAATGTATAAACAAAACAAATTGCTATGATTCTATTATTTTATTCCTCTTTATTTATTTAAATCAAATTACGAATGCTTATGATTTCAAAAGGTCAACTAGCTGTGCAAGGCTGAAGAAATGTCTCTGATTCTTATCTCCATATCCCAAGTATCTACCAAGGTGGAATAAGTAAAGTCATATGGTTGTGTAGGGTTTGGGAAGGGGCTAAGGACAAAAAAGACTGATTCAATCATCATGTTTCCACCATGTTTTTGGAAGTGCTTCTAGAGGTAACTGATGCCCATCAATTCCAAGTTTCTTTGAGATTCTGTGCTTTATAACAACTTTGGTTTTGATTTTTTTCTTTTAAATCAGAGGTGGGCAAATTATGGCCTGTAAGTCAAATCTGGTCTGCCACTTAAGAATACTTTCTATATTTCTAATTTGTTAAAAGAGGAGAGACAAGGCGGCAAAAGGAGAAGGAGGATGGAAGAAAAGGTGGCAGAGATGGACCATGGCCTGCAAAGCTGAAAATATTTGCTAGTTGGCAAATACTTATTCAAAAAGGGTTTTAAGACAACTAAAAGTTTCTTAAAATATAACAGGCAACAAATTAGACATAGGTAAAAATGACACAAGAAATAATACGTATTTAAAACAGAGTCAGGAATAAGGCAGTATAAAAACATGTTACTGCTTGCTGGGCGCCAGTGGCTCATGACTGTAATTCTAGTTACTCAGGAGGCAGACATCAGGAAGACTGTGGTTCAAAGGCAGTCCAGGCAAACAGTTCTCAAGACCCTATCTAGAAAATACCCAACACAAAAGGTCTGGCAGAGTGATTCAAGAGGTAGCATGCCTGCCTCACATGCATGAAATCCTAAGTTCAAACCCCTGTACCACCAAGTAAACAGTAACAACAAAAAGTGTTATTATGAGGTATAATATACTTTGGCAGGTCAGACTAGGTTATTGGTAGTCATGTTTATCTTCTCTTAGCCCAAATAATTGAGACCTGCTTTAGAAATGTTTTATAGGTGGGAGAAGTTGTAATTATTACTACTGACTGAAAGAAATTCAGTTCTTAGGTAGAGACTCAAAAGACAGGATTTAAGCATATAGATAGGATATACAGAAATTTAGAGTTTTGGCAGCTCTCATTTCTCTCCTTCTTAGACACAAGTAAAAGAACAAGGAGAAAATAGCTCTCAATAGTACTTGAATTTTGCCTCCTATCCTAGGCATGTTGGTAGGAGGAAAATCAAAGGTCTTTGGAAAACACCACATCAGACTCTCTCTGAAAAGAGACTAAATTAAGTGTTTGAGTCCTTGTAAGCACATCAGCTCAAAGGCCAATTTGGAAATATTTTACAGCTATGTGCATATTTAGAAACTTGTACTCATAGACATATCTTAGTCACAAGGTATAATTCTTTAAAATTATACTTAGAAGTTAGGAAAACTTCAAAAATAAAGAGGGCAAAAGTACAGTATTTAAAATATCATAGCCAGAAAATAAAGCTGCATCTGATAAATTCAGAAGAGGCACCCTATGTGTTCTCAGACCTTATGTATGTCAGTTATCCATTCATCCATCCATCCAAATATGCATCTATGCAGAATTTACTCAGCATATTTTATATGACAGGAACTACCAGTATTAGTAACAGAAAGCAACACCAGGTGCCTATTATGCATGGTGACTCTGGTGCAGAAAACATCAACAGTAGTAAACAGTAAAAAACAATGTAGCAAGCGCTATCATATAAGTATATATAAATTATCAAGGAAGCAGAAAGGAAAAAGTAGTTCAATGGTTATCAAAAGTAGCTTAGGCTGGGTGCCAGTGGCTCATGCCTATAATACTAGCTACTTGGGGGTTTGAGATGGGAAGACTGCATTTTGAGACAAGGCTAGGCAAAAAGACGGCAACACCCCATGTCAACCAATTCTGCTGGATGCAGAATTGTGTGCCTTTCTTACCAAGGAAGCTGAGATTGAGAGGATCTCAGTTCTAGGCCAGCCTGAGCAAAACAGTGTGAGACCCTATCTCAACCAAAAAAGCTGGGTGTGTTGGTGTGAACCTGTCATCCCAGCAATAGTGGGAAGCTTATAGGAATAGGCTTGCAGTCTTGGCAAACAAAGGCAAAAAACAAGACCCTATCTCCAAAATAACTGGAGTAGGGAAGGGCTGGAAGTGTGGCTTACACAGTAGAGTACTTTCCTCAATGTGCAAAGTTCTGAGTTCAAACCCCAGTACTGCCAAAGGGGGGAGGTTAGTTTAGGAAAAATAATATTTACAGGTTACATTTTTTTCATTTAATATTAGAACTTCTTTAATGAGACACAGGAAAAGATACAGAAAAATATAAATGAGAAAAGCAGTATTTAAAATTTTTAATTTTTCATTTCTAAAATATTTAGGTATATTTGAAGTAAAGAAACATAAAAGTGTCTTTTAAATTTTTCCTCCTTGACATTTTTGTAACATTTTAGATTTCCAGATATGCTTGCATGAACAAGATCTTCTTTTCCTTCACAATATCCAATTAAATGTATTGTTTAGTATGTAACTTTAAGATGAGAACATGGTCAGTTCAAACCCCAGTGTTGCCTGCCCCCCCACACCAAAAAAAAAAGAAAAAGAGAAACGGAGTTCAGAGGGGAGAAGTAACTTGTTCGAGATCATATAGCTAGCAAGCTAGCAAACTTGTCAAACCAGAACTTAACTCATTTGTTTTCACTCCAAATTCCATTTTTGTCTTAGCTAAAATAAAACACCTTTTTTCTTCTCTCTCTCTCCCTCTACCTCTTCTCTGTCCCCATCCCCCTGAACTGAGGTTTAAACTGAGGGCTTCACGCTTGCAAAGCAGGAACTCTACAGCTTAAGCTATGCCTCCAGTACATTTTGCTCTGGTTATTTTAGAGATGGGGTCTCTTGAACTACCTGCCTGGGTTGGCCTCAAACAGTGATCCTCCCAATCTCAGTCTCCAAAGCAGCTGGGATTACAGATGTGAGCAACAGGCACCTGGCTCTTTCTTTCTTTGTTGTTGATTTTTTTTGGGATACTGGGATTTTGAACTCAGGGCCTTGCACTTGCAAAGCAGGGCTCTACCACTTGAGCCACACCTCCAGTCTATTTTGCTCTGGTTCTTTTTGAGATGGGGGGTCTCATGAACTATCCACCTAAGCTGAACTAGAACCAGGATCTTCCCGACCTCAAAGATAACTTTAAAAAAAAAAAACCTTCAAAAGATGGGCAGCAATCATCAGCAACACCACCAACAACAGGTGTTGGTGAGGATGCTGGGAAAAAGGAACCCTCTTACACTGTTGGTGGGAATGTAAAACTATTACAACCACTCTGGAAAAAAATTTGGAGGCTACTTAAAAAGCTAGACATTGATCTACCATTTGATTCAGCAATACCACTCTTGGGGATATACCCAAAAGACTGTGACACAGGTTACTCCAGAGGCACCTGCACACCCATGTTTATTGCGGCACTATTCACAATAGCCAAGTTATGGAAACAGCCAAGATGCCCCACCACTGACGAATGGATTAAGAAAATGTGGTATCTATACACAATGGAATTTTATGCAGCCATGAAGAAGAACAAAATGTTATCATTCGCTGGTAAATGGATGGAATTGGAGAATATCATTCTGAGTGAGGTTAGCCTGGCCCAAAAGACCAAAAATCGTATGTTCTCCCTCATATGTGGACATTAGATCAAGGGCAAACACAACAAGGGGATTGGACTTTGAGCACATGATAAAAGCGAGAGCACACAAGGGAGGGGTGAGGATAGGTAAGACACCTAAAAAACTAGCTAGCATTTGTTGCCCTTAACGCAGAGAAATTAAAGCAGATACCTTAAAAGCAACTGAGGCCAATAGGAGAAGGGGACCAGGAACTAGAGAAAAGGTTAGATCAAAAAGAATTAACCTAGAAGGTAACACACACGCACAGGAAATCAATGTGAGTCAATGCCCTGTATAGCTATCCTTATCTCAACCAGCAAAAACCCTTGTTCCTTCCTATTATTGCTTATACTCTCTTTACAACAAAATTAGAAATAAGGGCAAAATAGTTTCTGCTGGGTATTGAGGGGGTAGGGGGGAGAGGGAGGGGGCAGAGTGGGTGGTAAGGGAGGGGGTGGGGGCAGGGGGGGAGTAATGACCCAAGCCTTGTATGCACATATGAATAATAAAATTAAAAAAAAAAAAAAAGATGGGCAGCACAGCAACATAAAGTTTTTACTGTAAGTAAAATGTGCTGTCTACATCTAGTTATGACAGTGGAAAATCTTGAGATAAAATTTCTACTAAACCACTTATTCAATTACCAAACTAAATGGACTATTTTATGAAAAGATTATGCTAAATCTGAATACAAATTAATAGTCATAAAGTAGAAAAAAGGGAAAATAAATATAGATGAGTTGATCAGGCAATGAATGAAAGATGACATGAGATCACACAACTAAGTGTACTAATTTGCTCTGAGTTGAATTTGTATTTTGAATATTCACATTAGGGGTTTTTTCCTTCATACTTACATCTCTGTGCCCACTGCTGGCAGAATCATGAAGTGGGGTGTCATCATCTAATCCTTGTGTGTTAACATCTGCTCCAGCTGCTATAAGTATCTTAGCAACATCATAATATCCAACATTGCAAGCTTCATGCAGTGGTGTCCAACCTAAAGTTTAAGTATTAATTTAACATATAGGTCATTGCACTAAATCAAGATATATGTTTTTCATATACATACCTATGTGTGATATACCATTTTAAATCATACATGGTTCAAAAGGGGAAAGACAATGATGAAGAAGAAACTGAAAACAAATGCTACCAATTTTACAGAAGGCTCATTTGAGGGAATATTAGTTTCACTAGAGTTAAATTGTTTGACAAAAGTATTAAGTATCAAGCTTATCCAATAAATATAAAATTGGCATAATTTATGATAATCATATGAACTGTAGAAAAATATGGAAAAAGGAGATTTTCAGTAAACTAAATCCCATTTTATGGCCTTTGTTCTGTTAAACTGATGTAATCTTTTCTGGACTTAGTATCATTTTAACAAAAATCAATTTATCATTTAAGTACTTTTACAATAGTAGAAGTGGTAGCACATGCCTATAATCCTAGCATTTGAGAGGCTGTGGGGGGAAGATTTTAAGTTCAACGACAGCCTTGACAACGTAATCAGACCCCGTCTCAAAAAAAAAATTACTTTTGTAATAAAAGTTACATCTTCACAAAAGAAATATTAGAAAACATTAAAAAATCCAAAAAAATAAAGACTCACTGCCCATAATCCTATCACCCAGGTATAATAATTTCCTACTAGCTCCCCACCCCACCTTTAAAACTTGGATGGATATTTCACCTGCTTCCTCTACTCACTGAGGTGAAAATGATTCTGCATGTTACTACATTGTTCTAGTACACAGTCTTGTACTGACCTAATATGACATATTTTATATCAACAAGCACCTATTATTGTGAATTTGGCTTATTGCTAGTTTTTCCATTTAGTTGTAACAACTATCACTAATCTTCTTCTGCATCCTTGATTAAATATTTAAGATATATCCTTAGGAGTGGAATTGTGAAGTCAAACTGAAAGCATATTTCTTAGGTATGTAATAATGTCATTTTCTCTAGGATGTTGTATATTTTAAGTCTCATGCTTAAAGTGGATCCTGTATATCACTCCTTTCCCCACTTAAATCAAAATAGAGAAGTAGATTCCAGGTATAGAACTACATGTGAAAACAAAATGAGAACAAAATTTGGAAAACAGAAAATTTAGGAATATAGTTTTGTGGTAGAGATAGGCCTTCTTATATACAATACCAAAGTTAAAACTCGTATACAAAAAAAAAAAAAAAAATCAATTGATACGATTACCTAAGTGTAAAACTTTAGTTTTCAGTGTAAGAAACAACAGGGTAATTAAGGTTCAACATTAAGCTATACACAGTGAAAATCTTTACACATTTAATAGAGGAAAAAAAACTAGATTAAATGACGTGCTCTATTAAAAGCATAACTAAACCAAAAGAAAATGAACAAAGGACAGAATCTGACAATTCACAGAATATGGATAAATTATAATAAACTCAAGAAACACTTACTGTCACTACTGATTATGAAGTCCAAATTAAGATAAGATTTCTTACCAGATTATCAATAACTAAATTGATGATATGTAGCTTTAGTGAAGACCTTTTAATTGAGACAGGGTCTTAATATATAGTCTAGGCTGGCCTTTAACTCACAATTCTCCTGTCTCATCTAGGATTACAGCCATGAGCCACCATGCAAGGATTTGATATACTCTTGGTGGTGGTATAAATCAATACAGGATTTTTTGGTGAGCAGTTTTTCATTATTTCAAAAAAGTTTAAGATGCATCTCCTTTGATTTAGCAATTTCAATTCTACTGAAATACTTCTATATACACAAAGATATTTCTACCAGGTGTTCACTACAGTATTGCTTAAGGAAAACTAAGCTATAAAAATATTATGAGGCTATTAAAAATGAAGTGGGCTTATCTATATATACTGACAGAAATATCTGCTGGACATTACAAGTGGGTTGCAGAACTGTAGATTGAAGGGATGGAAAAATTCTTTTTAAAAGCATGTGTGTGTGTGTGTAAATTTTCATTTATATGATCATGAAAATGCATTGAAAGGATAACCTTGAAGTTGTTATTAATACTTCTATGGAAGAGAAAAAATCTGGTGGTGAAGGCAGGGTAGTATAGTATGTGAAATTGAGGGCAATTTCTATATTACTTTCTGCATACTTCCCCCTCCACACTGGAATTTAAACTCAGAGCCTTGTGCTTATTAGGCATGTGCTCTAGCCCTTCTGTTTGAATTCTTTGTAGTAGAAATGTACTGGTATGCTATTTGAGTAATTAAAATAAAAGTAACACCACCTTTATAGTCCTCATGTCCAAGTTAATAAGCATTCTTGAAAGAATTAAAGTATTAACTACTTTGAAAACATATACTTACTTAGAATAGAAACTAATTTGAATAAAGAACTATACAGTAGTATGTCAACTGGAAAGTAAGTTGAATATGTAAAGGTCTGAGTAATTGACATGGAAATACAGCAGAGACTGGATTTTAAGTACATACTCCAAAGGTTCTAAATAAAATATACTTTCATAATTCTTTTGTTTTCATTCAGCAGAAGGAATAAAAGAGTATGAATTAAACCATAATCATTATCTGTTTCCATGTTAGTTCTTCAGTAGTAGACATGAATTACTAGTCTTACCTGCAAAGTCTTTCACATTCACATTTGCCCCTAAACTTATTAATTCCTTGACTTGTTTCACATCTCCTCGAATAGCCGCCATATGTAAAGGAGTTTCACCTCGTTCATTTCTTTTATTAACTTTATCTTTTTGTCGAGATGAAGAACTGGGAGTTTTCTTTGGGGCTGGTGTTGTTTGTGAAGGATGATTTGGTGTCGAATCTGTAAGAAAGAAGAAAGTTCACAAAAATTCTAGACTATTTTATATACTTATTTGAAACTTTTTAATAATAATGTGCCAATTTCATAGAACATGGGGAATACCTTCTCACACTAGTAACCTAAAACTTGACTTGGGAGAGGCAGGGCAAGATGACAGGTTAGAAGAATCCATGTTTCTGATTCTGAAAATGAGAAGATGCAGGTAACATAGGATAGACTATATTTTGAAGAGAGAATAATAAAAGCAACAGAAATTGTGAAAGAGGGGGCATGACAGCAAAAAAAAAAAAAAAAAAAAAAAAAGGCATAGAGAAGTCAAATGGAGAAGAGCAGCAAACAGTTTCAAGCCTGTTCTTGGCCTTCTGGGAGGAGGAGTGGAAGCTAGCTAGAAGGTAAGTCCACAGCTCCCACAAACTTTAAACCTAGTGGTACATTTGTGAGATAGCAACTGCTACATCATGAAACAATAACTTTGGTGAAGGAAGACATTTTGTAGCTCCCCCTGTCTTAGAGAGTGATAGCAAGGTGTCATCTTGAGAGAGGGTTTATTGTTTAAGACTGAGATAGTCTAGGGGCCTGAAAACAAGTAACACCCACTGCTCTGGGAGACTGTGTGGGAACCAAGCATGAGGTAGTAGAGGAGGATTGTGATGTGGTCCTGCAGACAAGTTTAAGTAGAAGCTTAAGTCCCAATGCCTGAGGCATAAGTGGAAAGCAGCCCGGAAGGGGGACAAGGGACGCTTATACAAAAGCCTCCAAGCTGTGCTGGGACTGAGGCCTGGTGCCCTGAGCACAGTGGCAAATGCTTGGCGACTGGGTCATACGCCCCAGTCCAGTGGTGACAAATAGCACTTCAACCTAGCCACTACACTGTCTTGCCTGAACACTGAGACTATTTCAACTGAAAGACTGTAAGTCATTAAAACTTCCAATGACTTGACTTCAGTGTAAATCCCAACACAGAAACAAAAGTAATATGAGAAAAAAAAGAAAATGTGACTCCTCCAAAAGTCAACAAGTCCAGAATAAATCACTTGAATTATAGTGAAGCAGATGAAATTTCAAATAATGAACTCAAAATAGCAATGACAGGAATGATCAGTAAATTAAAGAAGACATGTATAAGTACCTGAATGAAATCAGAGGATACAAATAAACAGCTAAATGAACTCAAAGAAAATTCAAATAAACAGCTGAATGAAATAAGGAAGATAATACAAGCAGGATATGAAAGAGGAATTCAATAAAGACAGAAATCCTGGGGAAAAAAATTGAAACCCTGGAAACAAAAGTTCAATAACACAAGAAAATCCATTGAAAGCCTTGCTAATAGAATGGAACAAGTTGAAAAACAGTATTAAGGGTTGAAGATGAAGGGCAGAAATTACATCAATCAGACAAAGACAGGAAAAAAAAAAGAAAATATGAATGGAACATTCAAGACCCCTGAAAAGATCAAGCCTATTAATCATGGAAATAAAAATAGAAGAGGTAAAAGCTAAGGCACAGAAAAAATATCTCATAAAATAATAGTAGAAAACTTCCACAATTTTGAGAAAGGCTTTCAGAGCACCTAACAGTCAAGATCAGAACAGAAATACCAACAGACACATTACAACATTATAGTTAAAGCACTCAATAAACGGAAAAAAGAATACTGAAAACTTCAAGTCAGAAGAAACAAGTCACATACAAGGGCAAACCCCTTGGAATAACAGACTTTTTCAAGAGAAACTTTACAAGCAAGGACAGCATGGGATGATATATTCCAAGCCTTGAAAGAAAATAACTATCAACCTAGATTAATGTATTCAGCAAAGCTATCTTTCATAATTGAAGGAGAGAATAAAAAACCTTCCATGACAAAACAAAAATTGAAGGAATTCATGATCAATAAACTAGTGCTGCAGAAGGTATACCATAAAAACAACAAAATGGCAGGACATACTATTTGTTTTTTCAATATAAACATTGAATGTTCATGATCTCAATTCTCCAATCAAAAGATATAGAATGGTGGGTTGAATTTAAAAGTAAGACCAATTATTTGTTGCCAACAAGAAATGCATCTCACTGACAGACAAATATTGGCTTAGGGTGAAAATATGGAAAAAGATTTTCCAAGGAAATAAGACTCCAAAAATGGACAGGAATAGCTATATGCTTATCTGATAAAAGAGACTTCAGAGTAAAATTAGAAAAGACAAATTACGTCACTGCAAGTTAATGATGAGAATAATTCATCAAGGGGAGATAACTGTTAACATATAAGCACCAAAGTTTGGTGCACTCAATTTCATTAACAAATACTACTGGACTACTCCAACACAACAATAGCAGAAGATTTCAATAACAATCACCAATAGATAGGTCAATCCATACAAATAATCAACAAAGAGACTTTAGAATTTAATGACATTGTAGACCAAATGCACTTAACAAACATTTACAGACTATTTCATCTAGCAGCTGCATACGAACATTTTTCTCAGAAGTTCATGGAACTTTCTCCTAAATAAATATTTTTAAGACATAAAGTCTTAACAAAAGAAAACTGAAATAATCTCTGTGTTCTATCAGACCACAATGGAATGAAACTAGAAATCAATGACAAAAGAAACTTCAAAAGATATTAAGCATATAGATACTGAATAATACATAGCTGAATGATCAGTGGGTCACTGAAGAAATAAGGGAGGAAATTAAAAAATTCCTAGAGTCTAATCAAAATAAAAACACAACTTAAGAGAACCTCTGGGATACAACAAATGCAGTGGTAAGAGGAAAGATTACAGATATGAGCACCTACATCATTAAACAGGGAGATCACAAATAAACTGCCTAATGATACCTCAAGTTCCTAGAAAAATAAGACAAACAAAACTGAAAATTATTAGAGAGAAAGAAATAATACAGATTAGGACAGACATTAATGAAACAGGGACAAAAATACAAAGAATCAATGAAACAAAAAGTTGGTTATTTGAAAAAAATACGATCAACAAACCAATGGAACAAAAAGAGGGAAACAATCCAAATTAATAAAATTCGAGACAAAAAGTGGATATTAAAACAAATAACAATGAATTCTAGAGGAACTCATTAGGGAATGCTTTGAAAACTTATATTCTAATAATAAGAAATGGATAAATTTCTAGACCTACCAAAATTGAACTAAGAGAATAGAAACCACTTAAACCAATCTGTAATAAGCAATTAGACTGAAACAGTAATAGACTCATACAATAAAGCAAAGCCCAGGACCAAATGAATTCACTGCAAAATTTTACCCAAACTTTAAAAAACTATCACCAGTACTCTTCAAACTAGTCCAACAAAATAGAAAGTGAAAGAACGCCACCTAACTCATTCTATGGAATCAGTACTACCCTGATACTAAAACCTGATAGGGACACACACAAAAAAATTATAGACCAATTTTCTTGATAAACACAGACGTAAAAATTCTCAACAAAATGAATTCAACAACACTTTAAAAAGATCATATACTATGATCAAGTTGGTTTCAACACACACACAAATCAATAAATTTAATATAGCACATAAACAGAATCAAGGACAAAAATCATGTGATCATCTCAACAGATGCAAATAGAACCTTTGATAAAATTCAACAATCTTTCATGATAGACGCTCTGAAGAAACTAGGAATTAAAGAAACATACTCCAATATAATAAAGGCTATATATGACAAACCTATAGCCAACATCATTCTAAATGGGAACCGAAATAATTTCCAACAGTGAGGAACAAGAATCTTATTCAATATAGTGCTATAATTCTTAGCCAGGGCAATAAGGCAGGAGAAAGAGATAAAATGGATTCAAATAGGGGAGAAAGAGGGCAAATGATCCCTCTTTGTAGAAGATATGATCCTATATTTAAAAGACCCTAAAGATTATCTTAAAAAACTCCTAGATATGATAAACAGTTCTGACAGTGTAGTAGGATATAAAATTAACATAAAAATCAGTAGCTTTTTAATATGCCAACAATGAACAGGCTGAGAAAGAAATCATGAAAACAATTTCATTCAAAAATAGCCTCAAAAAAACCAAACCTAGTAATAAACTAAGAAGGTGAAAGACCTCTACAATGAAGACACCAGAAGATGGAAAGACCTCCCATGTTTATGGATTTGCAGAATGTTGTGAAAAATCGCTGTATAACTCAACACGGATTCAATGCAATTCCCATCAAAATCCCAATGTCATTCTTCACAGAAACAGAAAAATCCTATATGGAAAATATAAAAGTCCCATAAATAGAAAAAGCAATCCTGAGCAAAAAAGCACAATTCTGAAGGTATCATAATTATACTACCCAGCCACAGTAAAAAAAACAGAATGGTACAGGCATAAAAACAGATATGAAAACCAACAGAACAAATACAAGATCCGAAATAAAGCCTACATGGCTACAACCATCTAATTTTTGACACAGGAGCCTTTTCAACAAATGGTTCTGTGAAAACATGTTAGGAGATTGAAACTAGACTCTGTCTCTCACCCTGTACAAAAATCAATTCAAGGGCTGACAGAGTAGCTCAAGCAGTAAGAATACCTGCCCAGCAAGCATAAGGACTTGAGTTCAAACCCCAGGGCTTAAAAAAAAAAAAAAAAAAAAAAGATGCTAAAAATTAACTCAAAGTGGATCAAAGATCTTAATGTAAGATCTGAAACAAAATTACTACAGGAAAACACTGGAAGACACAGATATTGGAAATTATTATCTGAATAGGACTACAACTGCCAAATGGCACCACATTAAATAAAAAGCTTCATGAGCTATATGCCTAGATGTCAGCCTGGGCATATATCTCATGAAATCCTATCTCCAAAACAACCAGAGCAAAATGGACTGGAGGTATAGGTCTCAAGCTAAAGAGTGCCTGCTGTGAAAGCAGGAATCCATGAGTTCAAATTCCAATCCTGAAAAAAAAAAAAAAGAAATCAGAATGAAGAGATGAGCCACTGAATGACAGAAAATCTTTGCCAGCTATTCAACGGATAAAGATTAATATCCAGAATATACAAAGAACTCAAAAAATTAAACACCAAAGGAACAAATAATCCAATTAATAAGTGGCAAATAAACTGAACAGTCCTAAGAAGTTCAAATGAGTGATAAACACATGAAGAAATGGTCAACATCCTTAGCCATAAAGGAAATACCAATCAAAACTGCATGGAAATTCCATCTCACCCCAGTCAGAATGGCAATCATCAAGAAAACAAATAACAACAAATGTTGGTGAGGATTCAGAGGGAAAAGGAATCCTCATACATATTGGTGGGAATTAAACTAGTGAACTTTTATGGAAATTACTATGGAGGTTCAAAAAACCCTCAAAATAGTTACCTTATGACTATGGTATACTACTTTTGGGCATATATCCAACATACAAGAGAGAGACCTGTGCACTCATGTTTATGACAGCACTATCACAATAAACAAGATGTAGAATCAGCTTAGGTGCCCAAAAACCAATGAATGGATAAAATATAGTAAATACACATATGAAGCATCATTCAGCCATAAAGAACAATGAAATTATGTCATTTGTGGGAAAATGGATGCACTAGAGATCATCATGTGGGCTCAAAAAGCCACATATCATGTATTTTCATTCATATATGTGGAAGCTATATCTAAAATGATAATGATGATGATGATGATGATAGGACATAAGTATAAATGGGAGATCAGTGGGAGGAGGCAGAGGGAAAGCAGAAGGTACCAGAGACTGAAAAAGATCAAAGTACGTTACACATATATGTAAAGAGAGCATAATGTTTGAAAATGGGATTTTGGGGGGGGGTGGAGTGGGATGGGGAGGGGAGCTGGGCACTGGTGGCTTAGCCTATAATCCTAGCTACTTGGAAAGCAGAGATCAGGAAGATCTCAGTTTGAAGCCAGCCCAGGTAAATAGTTCAAGAAACCCTATACCGAAAATACCCAACACAAAGGGCTAGTGGAGTAGCTCAAGTGGTAAAGTGTCTTCCTAGCAAGTGTGAAGCCCTCAGTACAAGCCCCAGTATCACCACACAAAAATAAAAACTAAACAAAATGGGGGCAGGGAGTAATAAGGGGCATGAGCTTGTTCAAAGTATACAATACACATCTATGGAATTATCAAAATAAAACCCCTTTGTACTAAAACCCCCATGTACTTAATGAATGCTAATTAAAAAAATACTTAACTTGGATGATTTGTTAGTAACTTGACAATATCTTCCTTTATGAATGTCATATATCATAAACCAATTCAGGAAAATGTTTTATCCTGTCAAAATGTTTTATTCTTATTTAAAATAATATGGTACTAAGTACTTTAATGAAGATACAATCTTAAAACTGTCCACATAATGAGTGATTTGATGAATTGCAAAAAACTGTATTTTTCCTGGCATGTTATACTATTATTCTAAGATATAGGTAATAGGTACACTGAAAGCTGTAGTTCACACCTCTGACTTTAACAAAGCACTAAAGTTCTGTCCTGATATTAAGTGAAAACTACAGTTGTAGATTATGTTTTGCTTTGATTCTCATCTTCTGATTTTTTTTTCCTACTTTCTACATCAAAAACCAGAAATTTAAACTAGATGACATCTCCTTCTCTGATTTCAATACTGGTGTAGAAAAAAAAAAAACAAATAACTGGCTTCTTAACCAATTAACAGTTAAAGAAAGAGTTAATTCTGAAAATCTTTAAGTATTAAAAAAAAAACTGCTCTAGAGAAAAAAAAATCCTGGAAAATAATTTTCCTTATTAGTCTTGTAAACTGTCATGATTATTACTCTAAAGCATTATCATCCTTTCCTCAACAGAAAAAAAGTTCAAAGGTTTACCTTTTTGGATTTTTCCAGTACACTGTTTCAGTAAGAGTTTGCTATTTAAGTATTTCTAAAATGTACACTCCACAAGAGTAAGAACCTCATCTATCTTATTCATCACTGTATCACAAATGGCTTAAAAGACTTCTTGGTAAACAGTGGAACTCAAGACACATTCTTTGAATGAATTTCATTGTAATCTTGATAGTCAAATTATTTAAGAAATCAGTTTGTTAATTTTCTTAAAAACTGAAGGTCCCATCAATGGATAAAACAATCCAAACAATATTTCAAAAAGCTTTCCATTCTAGTTGACTAAGAACTACTCCTAAATGAAAAGAACCAACTGTTTGCTGATCAATACTATAATTGTATTCAAACTGAAAAGAACAGTTATAACAAAAATATGTATGTATATGTTTATACCTAGAAAACCCCCTGGAAGTATAGATAAAAAACTCAAATGCGATTGCTATCTGCGGGGGGGGGGTCATTGGAGATGAGAAATGACTTCTACTTTTTGTCTTATTGTATACATTAATTTATTCTAAGGACGAACTTTCATGGTATTAAAAAATCAGTTTTTAAAAACAAAGTCTGCCTACCTATTCAGTCTGATTCAAAGCCAACATTTCAGAGAAGCATTTACTGTTTTAGCACTGTGTGAAATATCTTTAATTTAGCCACAGACTTTCCCAAGATATTAACAGAAAGAGTAACCAAAACAATACACTGTAATTTAAAAAGCAGGCAGCCCTAAAGTGTTTTCAGTAGTGAAAAACATCAGATATATAAATGCTTTGATTGAAATTATGACACTTAGAAATATAAGAATTTAAATATGTTGTCCCAGTTTACTTATTTATTAAACAGTCAATACAGGAATAGCTCACTGAAAAAACTTTTTTTTTTTCCCAATGCATTGGCCTTATATGAAAAGATGCCTTGAATTCAGAGCTGAAACTTTTCTCCAGACAAAACTGACTTACTTTTTTGGATCAATCAGAAAAAAGAAAAACACTAAAAGAAAAAAGAAAAGTGCTAAGAGCAGACAAGGTGCTGAGAGATAAGGAGGGTTAAGCCATTTGTAAATTACTCAATTAACAACCCTTTACTCAATACCTAGTAAGCACAAAGATCCCTGCTCTTATATAGCATCTAGTCTAGTGGAGGGTACAGATAATAAATTGTAACACAATCAGAAAACTATAAACTGATGTTAGAAAAAATTCTGATTAAATTTAAGAATAGACCAAAAGGAAAACTAGTTTAAAAATAACTGTTAAAGACAGAGCTACATTGGCCTGAGGAAAACTAAGAATACATATTAAGTTAATGATGGTAGATATCAATCACCTGGACTGTTGTCTCTTGCTGTCATCTGCATAAGAAGCGCCATCTGCTTTCGCTCAGAGAGTGGATAACCAAAAAGAATGCTAACTGGTGTGGATTTCTTGTTTCCAGCTTCCTTCTTTGTTTTCTTCTTTTCTGGACCTTCCTTCTCTGGAATTATTAATAAACATGTAAGAATCTGAAACAAATAGTAACTATCCAAAAGAAAACATCAGACAACTTTTTTGACAGATCTATGTATGAGTAGCATCTCGTTATACATGTGAGAAATGTATATAACATGAATGAAACAAAAAGAGCATTGGACTTGTATAAGCAATTTTTTTTACAGAAAGATTTGGAAAAATACACTTTTTTTTTTCCTTTCCTTTTCTTTGTAATACTGAGGACTGAATCAGGGCCTTGTGTCTGTATGCTAAGCAAGTCTTTACCACCTGAGCCATGCCCTGACTCTTGTTTTTGAGATAGAGTCTTGCTGACTTTTTTTGCATGGGCTGGTCTCTTACGTTCCAAGTAGCTGGGATTACAGGCATACACCATCATGCCTGGCTGGAAAAATATATTCTTAATTCTATTATTTTCAGGTACTTGGAAATTTATTACTAGTAAAATTTGTATTTTAACAATTTCTCATGAATAACATCTCAAATATTGCTCAGTACAGTTATCCTATCTGCAAGGGTTTGTGGGTTCTAAAAAGCCCTGTTGTGGGGGGTGTAGTATTTGCATTAACTGTGCAAATTCTCCTATTTGCTTTAAATTATCTCTTGATTACTTACAATACCTAATATAATGTAAATATTATGTGAATAGTTGTTACAAAAAGGTCTGTACATCATTAGTACATATGCAAACTTTTTCTGAATATTTTCGACCTGTGGTTAGTTGACTCTGTGGATAAAGATTTTTGAAACTTCTCTTTCAGTCATTATAATTTTATTATTACTGCTAAACCTATATACTAGTGCTCCTTCAAATTACTTCCCTAGTTCCAGTCATGACTTCTACAATCTTCCAAGAAGCTAAGTATTTAAGACAAGTCTCATTATGCCAAATCAGTTTATTCCAGTGATTGGACAGTTGAACAAGGAATGATATTAAAGCTAACAATGAGCAAATTAAAGATTCATTGTGGTTGTGGGTTAACAAAAGATCCTGAAAACGTCCTTTCCAAAGAGATCTTATCTGTCACAAGGATGAGAGTTAGCTTTATAGGAAATCCTCTGGAAATGCAGATAGCATTTCCTGTTGAATGTGTAGAACTCAGACTGCACTGAATTATATAGTTAAGAGATACAGATGTCATTCTTTAGTAATTTTCTGGAGTTAATGCAGATGCCCTGTGCAAGCAAATGCAGAGGTCTAGCTATTACCTGTCTAGGCATCAATTTCTGGAATTTTTTTATTCAGGTTTAGGGATACCTACAAAAATAAATAAAATAAAAAATAAATTTAAAAATCAGTAAAAATGAGAGGGAATGAAAGTTTTAGTAGTCAATACAGTGGGTTTGTATTTTTTGGCAAGTAGAATACTCTAAGAGGTAAGCATTTATTAAGCTAGCAAGGTTTAGGGAATTAAAGTCTGATTATTTTCAGTAAGCATAAGAATTAATGATTATTCCAGTGTACCACTGCAGATATTAGGATAAACTGGTAACTAATAGCCTCAAAAAATTCAAGATCCTAACACTTGAAGTCTGCTGCCCACAAATCATTCAAAAATCTGTAACTCCATTTTGTTGAACATTTGATTTTATATAACAAAAAACTCAAAATTTCAAGACTTACTAAATCAGCTCTTATTAATATTTCTAATATAATCTTTCATTTTCATAATTCTTATATCAATTTTATTAATTATCCAATTTTATATTTAAATCTCTGCAGAATAGTTAATCCATTATGAAAATTATTAGAAAAGTTCTTCATGGGTCTCTAGAGATAACCGTTTCTCTGAAACGTAAACTCTCAATACTTTTCTATACCATCTTGGTCCTCTAGTATTTAGGTAGGAACTATAATTATTATTGTTTTCCCATCGAAAAAACAATTTTAAATATAATGAATGCATTTGTCTTCTAAAATTAAAATATTTAGCATTGTGAAAATTTTATAGAAAGAAAATATAGTTCAAGGAAAAAAAGTAAAATCTAGTAATAAATATAAACAAAAATTGCTTGGTATCTCTCCCTAAAATATTTTCTACAATTCTGGAGAAATTTTTGCCTTTTACTTGCTATTTGCAAAACTGCATTTTAATGTTTTACAAAAGATTACCATCTTAATACCTGGATTACAGAATGAGGATATTATAAGCTCCATTATTAGAATTATTATGCTGCTAAATAATCAAATATGTAACTGTTACATTTTGGAAATGAATAACCTCATTGGATATATTCCAACTATTTAAATAAAAATTCAAATTGGATGCATGCATCCAATAAGAACTATGATTTTTCTTTAATTTAGTTACAATAGTCATTTGTCTGAATTTATGTTTTGTATGAGATAGGAAAGTGAGTAGTAGCTAATGCAAGGTACCTAGGCTTGATAAATGCACCATTAGCCAAAACTGTTAAGTGTTAAGACTAATATCTTACAAAGTATACTTTTTTCAAATTGAAAGCAGTCAATGAGACTTCATTTGGAATCTATCTTGTACAGGATTTATTTCCTCTGAACCATCATAAGTAAAAAATGATGATATACTGCATGTCTGAAAAAAAAACAACAAAACAGTTCCCCTGCTTTTAGTAACTAAAAAATGTATCTATTTGTTCCAATAATAGCCAAAACTTTAAACACAGGTACACTGAAAAACAAGTTCATTTAGCACAGTCTACCTCAGACCTGAAATTCCTCTCAGCCAACCTAGGTATTTTTTAAGTCAGGATCTCCTTTTATCTTTTGTGTTGTTGGGGATTGAACCCAGAGCCCCAGCATGCTAGACAAGGGCTCTACCATTTTGCTAACATATGTAGTCCTGTAACCTAGAGACTTTTAAGGAAAATTCCAAATTCACTTAAACACTATTCAAAACAAAAGCAAAACGGATTCTTATCAAGTAAAATTCTTGACAGAATTTTGAAAAGACTTTCAAGATTCAGAACTTCAGAAATACGGAGATGTCTTTCTTTCCGGGTCCTGTCAGAATAAACAACGCTCAATGCTGTCACTTCCCTGTTAGAAGTAGAGTATATCATGGGGAAGAGACAAAAGTTTTCCTTGGAGCACTTGATTCATCAACCTATCAGTGTCTCAAAAATCAGTCTCTACAGAAGAAATGAAACGATGGAGTTACAATCCAAATATGGGTTGACATATAATTAAATCAATCACATTTGCACTGTGCATATTTCAATCTAGGGAAAAAAATTGCTATTATGCTCTGGTTCTAAAATATTATGAGTCTCTAACAACTGAAATGTATCTTGATTTCCAGCAATGATATTGAAATCACAGATGGCTTCATCACATACAGCTTTTACGTGTATCCTGGTCCTTAGAAGTTACATTTTAGAAAGGTAGGCAGGCCTAGTTCCACAGTAACGGAATGTAAATATGACTTCCTCTACCCAATTTTGGTAACTAGAACTACTAACTTAATAAATCAATTAACTCTCAGGGTAATTTTAAGGATGATTAGTTTCTATCTTCAACGAACCACACAAATTTTCAAAGTAAATAAAAACTGTAACATCAACAGAAGGTTTATTTAGTTTTACACAGGGACTAAACAATATTTACATTTTGAAAAGTTTAGAGATAGGAATGTTGACTCATTAGAAACAATAAAATAGGACAATCAAAACAGTTTTCATATGCTAGAGAATACTCTAACTCATTTTATTTAAAAATGATGGTACTTAAATATTCTCTTATATTCTTTTATTTTGAGTAATTATGAATCAGTAACATATAACTGCAGCCCTAGCCAAATACAGGTTCCAACACAGTTAACAGTCATGTCACCTCTCCAGGTAACCTGGTATTTTAATCCACTTACAGTTAAAATCAACCTTGGAAGCAAAGGCAATTAAGACTGAAAAATGCAGTGAGAAAAATTTTTTAAATGTCTGCTTTTTAAAAAAGATCACATGACTGAAGGATAAAATGATACAACCTTATCAAATTAAGTACACTTGATGTACTTTGTGAAGGGTATACAATAAAGCAGATTAAGGACATTTATCATCCTTCCACAGGGGTTGCTGTACTGCACCAATATCATGGGAGGGGTTGACTTTCATATTGCTTTCTACCAGAAGGGTGTCCCCACACTGTGCAATACAAAACCTAAATGGAGATACACAACAGTCCCTCTTACAGTGTTCACAAATAGCATGTGTTGGATATGATGCACTAGACATCTCAGAACAAAAACTGGAAAATTTTGTGGGCTCACTTATTTTATCAGAAATATCTATAAGCTGGTTTGAAAATAAGTTATTTATAGTTCAATAACTGTAAATGTGACAGAAACCACTGTCTGAATAGAGCACCTGATAATCTAATTACCTGAGTATGTTCTGTAAGAAGATATAAGTCTCTCCCCCCAATTTTCACTTGTATGTCCTGGGTCTGAATCTACAGAATGAGAAGAGACAGGAGAAAAGAAAAAGGCACACGAGGGAAATGCAGAAGTCAACAAACCAACATTTTTCAAAAGACCACCAGTTAGTTAGGCAATGATCTATCACTGTTTTTTCCAAAAGATTGTTTTTAAGGTAAAGCCAAAAGTACTTTTAACACAGGTTTGGTCAATACCTACAATGTGAGTTTCTTCAACTGAAATATCTTAAAATTGAGAAATATGACCATGTACTTTAGTAACAAACATTACTGATGTTGCTTATCAAAACATACCATCTCTTTTGATGCTATATCTTTTTTTAAATCTCTGAATAATGATAAAATAGGAAATATTCTTACCACTGGTTTTCTGTTTAGAATTTGTCTTTGAAAAACTTGAATCACACTTTTTGTATTATGAGTGCAAAAAGTATTCTGAAAACAAACACTTTAGAGTGCAGTATCATCCTATACCACAGGCCTTTCTACAAACTGTATACATTTCAAATCATATGAATTATTACAGTGATCAATATTAAACACATCTTAGGAAGAAAGCAACTAAATCAAAACAAAGTTTATTAGTTAAGACTATGGAATTCTGACTAACAATTCATGACAGAATAAGAATATGGAGAGCTGACTTTGATGATATTTAAAAAATATGCCATGCCATCTCATAATATTACTATTCTGATCTTCACGGGTTTAATTCATTGATGCATACTTTTCCTTCCAGAATCATTATTAAAGTCAGTACTCATGACTTCAGTTAGGTGTAAGTAATTAAAGAGTTGTTGGGGGGGAGCCAAATTAGAGAACAAGTAAAGGTAAGTTTAGTGATGAGATGGTCCATTCAACCAAAAAGGGGATCATTTATAAAATAACACTGAGACCTATTTTAAAGCAAGTGGGTAAATAGTTGAATGACATAAATTTCCATGAACACATATTTGAAAATCAAATACATAAAAGCAAGCAAGTTAAAAAATTCCATAAAAACAGTATTTGGCATTTCATACAAAGATAAGCAAAAAATTTTAAATGGGTTCCATAGATTGCATGGCAAAGAAAAAGTGGCAACCAATGAAGTGAATCAAATGGATTGAATAGATTATTGAAAGCAGGTATTATTTAATAGCAGATCAAAGCACAGTGGATGAAATGAACTTTCAATTACATTAATATAAGGAAGCAGTTTAACAGTTCACCCAAATCTTCCTTTAGAAGTATCCAATCCACCCTGAATTCATACACCCTTTGGCTTTTATTCAAATAAGTATGTTTATATTTGGGGCACTTGAATATGTGTTCTCTAAAGATTTAATTCAGGAGCTAGAGAATTAAAGCTTCCATATCCTATCCATTTACTTACTACTTCTTCCTAGTATGCTACACCAAGACTAGGCTATATGAGACTACAAGACTGATATAGAAGGCCAACGGTTAAGTAGAGCAATTCTCTCTCCCTGATATGTTCTTTATAGTAAGTAAGGTAAGGCAAGCCAAAACTTGTAATATTTTGAAAACAATTTTTTTTTTTTGGGTGGTACTGGGGTTTGAACTTAAGGCCTCACATTTACTAGGAAGGCGATCTACCACTTGAGCCACTCTGCCAGCCCTGTTTGGTTTTTTTGAGTCAGAGTCTTGCTTTGTAGCCCAGGCTGGCCTTGAACTCTGAATTCTCATACCCTGACCTCCCGAGCTCTGGAATTACAGGTGTGCACCACCATACCAGACTAAAAGCAGTATTTTAAATGTTAATCCTACTCTTTAGGTTGCAAAAGAGAAAAACACAGGAATGATTTTAAAACTCTACACTGTAGTTTGAAATTTTTATAATAAAACATTAGGAAGGGGATTGGAGTTATTCTGTAAGAAGTAATTGCAATGAAAATCACCAAAGGTGATTGTTCTTATTAAGGAAAACACTGACTTTACCTGTTACCTAAAACATGGTTTCTTTTTACAATGTCCATCTCTCCCAATTTATTTGAATCACATTAATTAAGGCAGGCTGATTAATGGCATCTAAAACTTCAGGAAAACAGAACTTCTAAGGTTGGCTGGAAGAGAAGGCTTAGTTTATGAAATTTCAACACTACAACTGCCATATGGACTTTAGGGACAGATCATTCTATGTCTTTGAATTTTCTTAAATCATACTACCTAAAAATGACAAAAGAAAATACTATAGTAAGTAAATAAGTAATGCTTACTAAAAGGAGGCTATCATGAAAAAAGTGAAGGATACTCTTATCTAGTTACATAAATATTCAAACGGAAATGATAAAAGTACTGCTGGTTTATCTCTATACAATATTAGAGCTATCAAAATGAAAGAAAAACACACCCCTCAAATTCTGTTTGAGGTTAAAGAACATTCATAAACTGCTGGAAGCTTGGTAACTAGGTCTGATTATTTTGGAGAAACATGAAGAATCATAAAAATGTTTCACCCTTTTAAATAAATAATTCAGAGTATGACAAAAATGCAGTCTGCAAAGATGTTCTTGATGGTATTACTTGTGACAAAATAATTGTACATTTAGTTTGAAGGCTAAGAAGAGACTTCATATGGTATTTCCAGATAGCTGGTCAATACTTCTGCACTAAGGGTTTATGACTTTTCCTAATGACATGAGATAAGAAAGAAGTACTATTTTTTGACTGGTAAGTTGACTTAGTAGGAACCTTAATAACTAAAGATGAAAAAAACAAGACAAGAGTTTTGCTTACTCTACACTTTACATTCAGTGGCAGATATTGTAAGCTACCTACCCAGTGTCATTCTTCCTCTTTCACCAGTAATACCTCAATTATGATCAAAGTGACAATATACCCTGCTAAAAATATTTGACTTTTCAAACTAACTTGTAAGTAGAGAAGCATAACCAAAGAGATGCAGGCTCAAGTTTCTAGGAAGGCTGTTTCATCAATAAAAAGGCCAAGCCTCGATGGGAAAAAGATACTTTTGTTCTTGGTCTTCTCTCCTCTACTTTTTGCCAGGAGGAAGCTACAACCCTGTGATTAAAAAAATACTTAAGGATAAAGACCATGTATGAACCAAAACAGGCAGAGCAAAAAGAAGAAATGGATCCAGTCTCAACTAGTATTATGGAGCTGTTATACCAACTATGGACTGCCTCTGCCTATCCTTCTCATTGCATTAAATTAAAAACTCCATTCCTATCTACTTGAGCCAACGTTAATCCATGTTCAGTCATGTTTAATTAATGTATCATGAAATGAATATATGTAGATGAGGAATCAGGACTTATAAACATGAGGAAATTGGGACTGATAAAAGCTCAAACTGGCCAGGTTTGTAGGAGGCTGAGCAGAGACTTAAACTCGAAAATCTTTGATAAACACTATGCTATTATTTACTTCTATTATAACTATACATCCTGCCAATATTCTTGATTAAGACAGTTTGAAAGTAAATTTCAAAAGCTAAAAATAAGTGATAAAGCAAGTTAATGTATAGGTATAAGAAATATCTTCTACATAAGGTAGTTGCTTTTATGCTTTCACAGATTCGATGGGTCATTTTTTGATACACTGGCTTTATAGGCTTCTTAATATTCCATAGTACAAACTTTATGGTAATTTTCTGAAAGAAGAGGTCAAGGTAAGTTAGATACTGGAATGATATAAGCAGATACACTGGTGTTTTATTGAAATAAGGTAATTCACAACAAATAGTACTATGATGCAGCTATAAGGAACCACTGGCATGAGATCAAATTATGCTTTAATTATTTTCCAAATTTTATTTGTCTAGTCAATTACCTACTTTTTTAGACAACTATATTTTAAAAAATTAGTAAGTGTTAAATAATTGAAATTTTAGAAAGTTTAAGACCCACTAGCCTGTCACAAAATGAAGACTAAGAATCCCTCGTTTGGTTGATACTATTATTGCTAATTTGGGAGACCAGTGGACCTTCCATGGAGAATGATATGAATACATACCTTCTTTGAAAAGCAATGACCTTACAGAAGTAATATATGTTTACTATTTTACAAACACAAGGCATGCAAAAAGTACAAAGAAGAAAGTAATAAATATTCCAAACCCTGGAAATACAGTGTAGATACCATTCTAAACATCCTTCTGAATATACACAAAGACAAAGGAACCAGCAGAGAGAAGAGATAGGAATATGCTATTTTAAAATAAAAAAAAGTTAAGATTAATTTCATTATTTTCAAAATAAAAGGAAACTAAAGGGAATGATTTTTCTCTGTAAGAGACAGTGTATATAACAAAAACATTAAAAGAAATTTCAAATAAAGCAATATTAAAACATTAAAAAGTTTAAGTAAACATTTTTTAAAACTATGCATTTCAGTTTAGACAGTATCAGTTCATGCCTTGCTCAGAGAAAGGATGAGCTAAGTAGCATTATTATCATATTCTCTTTATTGCCCATCCTGTTCTTTTATTTTGCCAAGTCAGGATTTATATCATTTACATTTGGTTCTGAATCAAAATACACCTAACAGTTTTAGGCTTAGTGAAAAGGTCTTTAGTATTTAAACAGTTTTATCTTTCTTTTTCTTGGGGAGTGGGTAACTGGGGTTTGGGCTCAGGGAAGTCTACCTCCAGGACATCCCCACACATTTTTTGCTTTAGGTTATTTTCCAATAGAGCTTTGTGTTTTTATGTTTCTGACCTGAGGCCAGCCTGGACTGAGATCCACCTACTTATGGCCCTCCCACATAGCTGGGACCACGCCCTGCCTATTGGTTAACATATGAGTCTTGTCAACTTTTTATTCCAGCTATCGTGGAACTGTAATCCTCCCAATATCTGTCTCCTAAATAGTTGGGATTACAGATGTGCACCACCATACCAGCTTTATCTTTTTATGTCTGTGTGTATGTCATGTACACATATAGAAATATACAAATTATGATTTTAATGCAATCAAATAGTACATACTATTTTATAATCTACTTTTTCACTTCCAATACATACCATGAATATCTTTCCATACCATTAATTCTGATATTATTTTGTAAGGGTAAAAACCATATTACCTTATTTGATTTACCATAACTTAACAAATCTTTTATTACATGACACTATTTTCCTGGTTTTGTGTGTGGGGGGGTTGTCATTATTATAAACAAAGCTGAAATAAACAGTCTTGATAAATTTTTGCTCTCATCAATAATCATTTATAAAAAAGTAAAAAATTAGTCAAATTAGAAGCTTCGCTTGGGATATATGTTGTCATATTTACCATTAACAATTTAGATTAAACTCCTAAAGCAAATTCCTACCTTCATTTCATGACCACTGGCTATAATTAAGGCTAATAATTCTGTCAATCACCATAAATTGTATTACTTTGATTACTGTTGGTATGTTTTTTCATATACTTATACTGTTTTGAATATAGAATCCAATCGTTTGTCCAGTTTCCCATTTTTGTGCTTTTCTTTTTCACATTTAAGAAATTTTTTAAAGCTACAAATATTTATATATAAAACTTAATACATTAATGCATACAGTAAATATTCCCCCCTTTGTTTCAGCTAATAGTTTAAAACACAAGGGGGTAAATTCAAATATGATATATTTGATATTTCTTAAGAACTTTACCCTCATCACAATTTAAAAAAAAAAGAACTCCAAAAAAATATAGTCTGATGCTGTAACTATCTTTCATATGGAACATGTCACTTAAATGGTACTTTGGAGTCTATCTTTTTTAAGTAATGAAAAATAAAAGACAGCTAAATTATAAATAACATATTTTGGCTTTGGACCTAGGAAATTCTTCTTAATTTTATTTAGTAAAATTTATAAATTCTGCCTAACAAAAACATGTTTTATATCCACCAAACTTTTGTTTGATGAAGACATGTGAAGTTTTTTTTAAAAGAAAAGGTAAGAATTTCTTAATGAAATACTCTTAAACACAGTAGCAGCACCCTACTAAATGCAAACAGTGAAAAAGATTTATCAGGGTAAAGAGTATATATAATCCAATTATTAAATTATGAATCAGATTATATTTACTCAGTTCTCTTTCTCTAAAGTTTTAGCAAGAATTCATTTTAGTATAACAGGATAAAGTGGGGAGAAGTGAGGGAAAAAAAGAGAAACATTTCCTGTTCCCCATGGAGAAAATGGGAAGAAAGACTTCATTTATTCAGTTCTTAAAGTTCATGTCTTCCTAAGTAACATTTTGTCCTTAATTTTTGTCTAAATAAAAGAAAAATAATCTACATGATCTAGTAACAAAGAATGTCATGGAAAGTTTATTTCGAAACTTTACTCCTAAAAAATGTTAACAATATTTGAATTTATCAAAATCCCTTCTTCCTCAAACTACTGTTAGAAATATTACTGGAAAATAAAATTTGGATAATGTAATTTAAAAATGACCAGCAAAGGGACTTCCAAGGAGAAACTATGACAAGTGTTAGATCTTAAATGGTACCTAAAGGCATATGCAGTTATACATCACTTAATAATAGAAGTATGTTCTGAGTCACTGGGCAATTCCATTCCTATGCAATCAGCATGGAGTCTACTTTTACAAACTAATATGGCTGCAACATTCCTATGTGACAAAATCTTATGGGACCACCAATGTATATGCAATCTCTTGTTCATGGAAATATTATTTGGCATATGAATGTAACTGTCTATTACAATTAATTAATTAATTAAGCAATTACTTAGTAATTGCTTAAGAATATCAAGGATAAGAAGGGTCATGTTTAATGGGAAAAAAAAAGTTTCTGAATTTCTAGAAGAAGCTAGGGTAACTTAAAATGATGAAAACACATTAATTGCTTTCTTTTTTTTCTTGGTGTACAGGAATTGAACCCAGAGTCTCACACATGCTAGGCAAGTCCTCTACCACTAAAAAAGCACATAATTCCTTAATCACTGCTAGGAAGAGCAATCTTCAAAGTTTAAAAAATGTCATAAAAACTATTTCTAATGCAAACTAAGAGAGACAGCAAATATACAAAAGAGAACTACCTACTAAATGTGTGTATTAAATTTATACCATTTTCTAAAGCTATGTTAGCACAGGGTGTTTCAAAATCATGATATCTGGTACTGATGATTGAAGTCTACTAGAAAGATGTAGGTGGGATACAAACTTCTGTATTCACAACAGAACACTAATTTTCTGTGAGTGAAACTAAAACATTTTCTAGAACAGTTTATTATTACTATATTACAAGAAATAAAATATCTGTGACAAATACAGAATATTCAAGCTTATATTAGTTTTAAGAAATTACTGGTCCAGAGCTAAAGTACAATCTTGTAATTGATTAGATGGTAGTAAGAAGGCTCTCAACTATCATGAATAATTGAGATTGACTGATTTCAAGTACCAACTTCTGGTATATAAAATTTTGAGAAATAAAAGTACGATGGATAGCACTTAAGCAGTTAGCCTCACTTTTTTTCCTTTCCTTTTTTTTTTGTTTTTGGTGGTGCGTATTACTAACCCTATTTATAAATTTAAAGTGTCCAACAGATTCACATAAAACAACTTTTTCTCCAATCTACCAAATCCCTGTGATTTTTATTATCAACCAAATTTTCATCACTGGAGTACTCCCCAACAAATTAAGTTCTGAAGCTCTGAAATGTGGTAAAAGAGATTTGAAATGAATATTAAGAATGGGGAATAAAGCAAATAGTTTTCTGACATTTGGGTGATAAACAGATGAACTTCTGCCCCAAATAATAAATTTCAAATATTGAAATACAAATATTTTTCTATTAACTGGGTGTAAAAATGAATAGTGCAAATGAAAGAAAAAAATTCACAGTAAAAAACTGATTATGTTTTACCAGAAATAAGTATTCTACCTGTGTCTGATTCTCGTTCTTCATTTCTTGATGGGCTAATGGTAAATGGAAGTTTACGTTTCATGGATGATTTCTCTTTCATCTCCTTGCCCACATCACTTCGGTCATTTTTTGGCGTTTTGCTGTAAGTTGCAATCTTGTCTTTACACTATTAAAAACCAAAACAAAACAAATATGAACAAAGTTGTGTCAATATGGCACTAAAGAAACCCACCTTACTAAGAAAAATTTCAGACACACAAAAATAAAGGGATATTCATTATATTCAATGTACTCAAGACCCAGTTTCAAAAAATCATAACATTTTTTTCCAACTTTTTCATATTTCCCTGCTTTTACCTAACAGAATTTTAAAATAACAGTAAAATATCCTGACTGTACAGTAGATCTTATGCCTGGTTATATAATAATGCATAAATATATAAATATGAAAATGCAATTTAGACTGAATGACAGACTTTTATTAAAAAAAAAAAACACTGTTCTCTGTATTTTCAGATTCTGCACCCATCAATTCAACCAACCATGGATTGAAAATATTTGAAAAAAATTGCATGTGTACTGATTACGTAGATTTTTTTGGTCATTATTCTCTAAACAATAACAACTATTTATATAGCATTTACATTGTGTTAGGTACTGGGAATCTAAGGTTAAATTACATGTGTAGGGTATATGCAAATACTATGTCATTTTGTGCTAATATAAACATCCCTGTGTATCAGTAGGACATATTAGAACCAACTGACTGCAGATACCTGGCTGCACAATTCTCTACAACACTAGTACTTAAGTGGTCATTGGACTAACACTTTTAACATACTTGGAAATTTACTAAAAAAACAAAACTCCCAAGGTTGTGCTCCATCCCAAACTTATTGAATCTGAACCTCTGGGGGTGGAGGGCACATGATCTGTTTTACAGTCCTTCCAGGTGATTCTGATGCACACTAAAGTTTAAGAACCTACTCAATATCAATAAAAGAGGTAAATATGTAAGGATCTCAGGAGCCAAAGGAAAACCAATCCTGTTTGCTAAAAGATGACAACCCCATTTCTTAAATCAGAAAAGCAAAGATATATTTCTAATTTAATTTAGAAAATGGGTAAAAAAAATTATGTACCCACCCAGTCAAGTGAAGTGGCCCACTCTCATGGCCTTCATCTATAACCCACCATCTAATTGGGACAACATATCTATTAGGTCATAATAAAAAAAAGAAAAGGCAAAATGAGCAGACTAACTGGTGAACATTACTGAAAAACAGTACCTCATCTATACGTTCAAGTTTTAAAGTAAAATTTGCTTGAGGTGTTTTTTTACTCTGTCAATGAAATGAAGATTAATAGGCAAGTGTTTTGCTTATAAGGTTATTTTAAAACATAAACATAGGGAGTCTTTGCTCCAATTTTCTGCATGCGGAATAGGAAACGTTTCTCTTTCTCTACCCAGCTTTCTTCATACTTTATTCTACTATACTAAAACAAATCCTTACGAAAACGTCAAAAAAAAAAAAAAAATCCCAAACCAGGTTTTATTCATATTCAAGTGTGCTGAGGCTAACAAATAAGGAGAGAATTGCCATTGAAAAGATTAACTAAGGGTTCTGGCATTGGGTAGATTCTCCCCTCCACAAGGATTTCTTCCTGAATAAACCCTGTGCTGGCATTTGAGCTGTTAAATAAATTAATTAATTTAAAAAATAAAATAAAATAAATAAGGCAAGCACCTCTCATCTCAGCTAACACAGGAAGCATAAATAGGAGGATCAAGGTTCAAACAGTGCAAAAAGTGAGACCCTATCTCAATGTTAACCACAGTATCGAGTGCTGGTGACTCAGCACGTAATGTAATGTAATCCTAGCTACTTAGGAGGCAGAGATCAGGAGGATTGCGGTTCAAATCCAGTCCCAGGTAAATAGATAGTGAGACCCCCATCTCGGAATACAAATCACAAAAAAGGGCTGGTGGAGTGGCTCAAGGTGTAGGCCGAGTTTAAACGCCAGTACCGAGAAAGAAAAAAAAAAGACACTTTTTCATTTAATCTTATTTTATTCAACCTACAGCAACTGTCACATGCAAAATGAAAACATTGATGGTGACACAAGAATGAAGGTCATTCATGGTTATTGCTATTACACAATGTACTGATAGCTAGCTAGACAGCATCTCCCTCTGGAGCAAAAGGTAGGTAGACTCATTGCCCATCATAAAAGATGAGGTTCCTTCTCCTATAATGCAACCTACTGCATATGTATCTGTCACTTGGCCCTCCTTTGCATACTCCTTTTAAGAAATGAGGCTTGGGAATAGGCATGACACTAATACTCAGATCACTGCTATTGCTACGAATAGTAAATGTTCCTTTAGCACTGACCCAGGAATCTCATGTCTTCTATCAGTATCCATAAAACTGATTAGGTTTCAAGCAGGGTAGTTCTCAGATCCCTCACAGTTTCTGAAAAAGAAATTTCTATTTTCATTATTTTTATATGTAAATTTTTCTGTAATGAGCATGTATTACTTGAGTGATAAAAGAAAAAAATTTTTTTGCAGTACTGAGGTTTGAACTCAGGGCCTCATGCTTGCTAGACAGGTGCTCTACCACTTGAGCCACTCCACCAGCCCTTTTTTTTATGTTGGGTATTTTTTGAGATAAAGTCTGGCTTTTTGCCTAGGCTGGCCTTGAACCATGATCCTTCTGATCTCTACCTCCTGAGAAGCTGAGATAATAGGGATAAGACAACGGTGCCTGGTCAAGAAAAAGTCTTATTTTTTGGTGGTACTAAGGTCTGCACTCAGGTCCTGTATCTTGAGCCACTCCATCAGCCCTTTTTTGTGATGGCATTTTTCAAGATAGGGTCTCACGAACTATTTGCCCAGGCTGGCTTCAAACTGTGATCTTCCTGATCTCTGCCTCCTGAGTAACTAGGATTATAGTCGTAAGCCACCTGTGCCTGGCTAAGAAAAAAGTTCTTGATAATCATTTGGATAGAAAATAATCTTTCTTAATTATACTGATGATAGAGCAGAACTATTCAAAAGATTAAAATAATTAATATCCTTTCACACTATGAATTAACCCAGGTTTTAGATTATCACATGAAGTTTTATAAAATATTTTATTTTTCAAGCTATAAATACTGCTTTATTGTTAAAAGCAGCAGTAGAGAAATTCCTGTAGTAAACTAAAACTAATGGGGGGAAAAAGACCACAGATTAGTAGTGAAAGGGTAAAATAATTCAAAAATTGTGGGTTGACATTCTTGATGAAACCCTGACTACTGTAATATTTAATGAGGCAATGAAAGCACTTTATATAAAAATGAAACTGGTACAGAATATAATTATTATTTAAATTAAGTTCTATTTAAGTGTATTTAATAAATTAAATTTTGATCTAGGCTTTCAGGTTTAGGATCACCTAACAGCAATATTCTTTCATATTAAACTGTAAATGAGATCTGTATTAATATAACAGAACAACTATATTCATTACTGCAATGTTATGAAAAAAAGGGGTGGAGGTGGTAAAGATGGGTGTGGTGGCCCATGCCCATGGTCCCAGCTACTTGAGAGGCACTAGGAAGATCAAAGTTTGAGGCTAGCCTGGCCAAAGTAAGATCTAGTCCCTATCTGAAAAACAAAGCAAAAAAAACAAAAGACTGGGGATCTGGGTTCAATTGGTAGAGCACTCGCCTAGCAAACTTGATGCCCTGAGTTCAATCTCTAGTAGTGCAAAAAATGAAACAAAGTAATAAAACAAAACAAACAAACAAACAACAAGAAAACAGGGAACCACTTAGCAGAATCCAGAAATTGGCTGCAGGGTCAGTCACTCACTATGAAAAGATAATCAAAGCCAGGTGTGGTGGTTCATGCCTATAATCCCAGCAACTGAAAGCAAGAGAATTGAGAAGTTGAGGTCAGCATGGGCTGCACAGTGAGAGCCTCTCTCAAGAAAAAAAAAAAAAAAAAAAGGCGCTGCAAAAATACAGGTGCAAATCAGTGGTAGAGTAATTTCCTAGCATGCTTGAGGCCCTGGATTCTGAGAGACAAGACACATACATACACAGGGATGGAAAGGGGTAGAGGAGGCCAGCTCAGACATAAAAAGTTAGTGAGACCCTATCATAAAAAACAAGCTAGGTGCTGGGTTTGATGGTTCTCATCTGTAGTTCCAGCTACTTAGGAGGAGGAGGAGGTAAGAAAGCAGCCCAAGCTGGGCCCAAACGTCATCTGAAAAATAAAGTGAAAAGGACTGAAAGTGTGGCCCAAGTGGAAGAGCACTTGCCTAGTAAGCACAAGGCTCTGAGTTCAAACCCCAGTATTTCCCCCTACCAAAAAAATATTAATAGAAAGATAGTGCAAAGTGCTTTTTACTTATCGCTACACTCTTAAAAACTACACCTTCAGTAATACTCAGGCACCACTTTCTTAGTGGCAGCTTTCAAAAGATACAAAGCGTGCTTGCTTCAGCAGCACATATACTACAATTGGAATGACACAGATTAGCATGGCCCCTGCTCAAGGATGACACATAAATTCATCAAGCGTTCAATATAAAAAAAAAAAAAAAAGATACAAGCTTCAATGGGTTTGGCCTTACAAATTCAGTCCCAGAAACTGACATCAAGCAGCCCAGATGAAGTACTGTATTATTCCCCCACAATTCCACTGAAGCAACATTTACCGTGGTCATGTTCTCAAGGCCTCATCTTTGCTAATACCCTCCCGGTGGCATCTGGCACTGGAGACTTCTCCTTTGCCATTCTTCTCTGTGGAAACTTTTGGTTCACTCTGTCCTCTTCCTCATCTCGTTTCTCCTAAAATATTTGAATTCCTCAGCATATACCCAATTCCACTGTTGCTCCACTTTATATCCTCTCTTATATCTCCATACCTGTGGTTTACTTTTTCCACAAATCTTCACATATTTATTTCCAATCTAGACTTCTGTTTTGAGCTCTTAAACTCCTATCAAACACCTACTAAAAACTCAGAGGTTCTGACAGCCAATTCAACAAATACAAATCAAGCTTATTCAAAACAACCTGTTTATTCTCTTAAATTCTTTTACAAGGAATAGTGTAACATAACCTAGTTGTTCAAACAGAAACCTCAGAATAGGTTCAGAGTACCTTCCCCACCCCCACATATTTAGTTTAACTCATTCAACATTTTTTAAGATCAGCCACTTGTCTCCATTTCCAAAGCCATTATTCACTCTGCCTCTTGCTTGGATTTTTAAAAATGGCATTTTGATCTTCTCTAGGTTCTTCCCTTCTAGTTTACTGATTGTAGAATAAATCCAAAATCCTTTGCAGGGCACAAAAGGCCTAATGCTAGCCTATCCCTTTAATGAATGACATCTCAACTTAGTATATACTAGTGCAACAGATTCATATCTATTTTTCAATTGCTGTTTCTTTGGCTTAGACTACTTTCACTCCCACTTTCCTGCAGGTTAAATACTTATCTTTCTCATTCTCTCAAGAGTGCATATTGGGGAAAAATGATCTAAAATTGATTGTGGTTATGACTGTATAACTCTGTAAATACACTAAAACTACTGAACTGTACAATTTAAATTTATGGTATGTGAATAACATCCCAATAAAGTGGATAAAAATGGTAGGAGGCAGAGATCAGAGGACTGTGGTATGAGGGCAACCTGAGCAAACAGTTGGTGAGACCCTTCACAAAAAAGGGCTGGTGGAGTGGCTCAAGGTGTAGGCCCTGAGTTCAAACCCCAATACCACAATAAATATATAAACAAACAAACAAACAAAGTCCAATGTAGAGAAAAGATGACCAGGAGAATTAATAGCTGAAGACATGGCTTATTAGTAAGCATCAAGGAAAATTCTAATAGGCTACAAAGAAATTACATCAGACAGTAACTTGAATCCATAGGGAAAAATTTAAGAGTACCCAAACTGGTAACTTTGTAACTGCAAAGAACTGTGCCAATATAAATTTCTTTAATAGATAAGATTATATAAAACAATAATTATAACCTTTTGTTACTGGGTTAAGATACAGATGTAATCTACATTACATAAACAACACAAAAAAGGTGAAGAAATGGTACTATACTGGAAGAAAGTGGTATTTTACTAAAATTAAATTACTGTATTAAACTATAGTAGATTGTGTCAAATTAGGAGATGATACATATTCCAATGTCTAAACTGATCTCTAAGATTTAAAAAAAAAATAGTACATGTAAAAATATTTAAAACCAAAAAAAGGTAGCACAGAAGACAGAAACATGAAACATAAGAAAATAGCAGATATAAATTAATATCGGATATTAAAATATCCGATATGTATAATATATATAAAATATATATAATATTTTAATATATTAAAATTATATTTTAAATGTAAACTAAAAATGCAATCAATAGACAGACAGCTGGTGCAATCAGGTAAGAAAAATAAAAATCCAAACTGAAAAAGTAAAATTCTAGTTTATCTCTCTCACATGTAGAAAACTCTACAAAGAATCACAAATTTTGGAACCAATGAAAGAATACACAGTCACAGACACAGGACCACTATATAAAAGTCAACTGTATTTCTATACTAGCAATAAAAATCCAAAATGAAATTATCTATGATAGCATTGAAAAGATTTAAAATAGCAGTACAACATCTGTATATTGAAAACTTTAACACATTGCTGAGGGAAACCGAAATGGATCTAAATAAGTGAAGAGACATTCCATGGTTGTGTACTGAAGGACGATACTGTTAAGACAGCAATACTACCCAAGTGATCTATGGATTCAATAAAATTCCTATCAAAATCCTAGCAGACTATTTTTGCAGACACTGGCAAGCAGATGCTAAAATTTATATGGAAATGCTAGGGAACTCTGAGTAATCAAAACAATTTTGAAGAGAACAAAGTTTAAAAACTTATGCTTCCTAGGTTTTGAAAGCACACTTGAGGGTGGGGGCAGAGCATGGCTCTAGTCACAGAGCACCTGCCTAGCAACTGTGATGCCCTGAGTTCAAAGCCCATTTATTACAAAAAAGATTCTACATTGTTTGGGATTAGTGTGAGAGTGGGGACTGACTGCAAATGGTTAACAAGGATATTTTCACAACAAGTGAAGTATTCTAAAACAAAATTGTGACTGAGGCAGGCTAGGATTATGGAAAGATTACTCAGAAAAATATTGCATTTTAATCTGACCAGGCTCTGGCTCAAGAACTGCTTTCATCTTCCCTGGGAACCACCCATGTCCCTCTCCACTCATTGATTATTGGATGGGAAACTCCTGGTTTCTCCCTTCCCCCAGATTAGCAGAAGTTTTAAAAGCACCTGAAGAAGAGAAGCACCCTTTCTCTGCCTCCAACTTCCACCTGGGCCCCACCTGGGCTCCCTTTCCCATTAACATCCATGTGTCCTGCCATGGCTTCTTCCCCATGGGACACAAAGAATTTGGAAGTCTTCTGATCACAGACTCTGCGCCGCCAACATGATGATGGCTGCACAAATCTATTAGTTAAAAACTAAGAATACTTCATATGTCCTTCAACAAGAAAATGGCTTTTTAAAAAAAAGATTTAAAATGAAAAAAGAAAACAAAGAAAAACTTTAAAGATAATGTATAAAACTAACCACTGTGTCTGGTGGAGTGGCTCACATTATAGAGCACCTGTCAGCAAACTTGAGGCCTTGAGTTCAAACCCCAGTATTGCCAAAATAAATAAATAAAAATAAAAATAAACAAGAGTGAGATCAATTAGGAGACAACTGCAAAATTCTGAATGAAGATTCCTGAGTATCTAAATTAAACAGGAACAAAGGATATGGAGGATAGGAAAAAGGATCATAGGCTACTAGCTACAACTAATAGCAAAAACTGTTAACATTTACTAAGTACCTACAATGTGCCAAACATTGTATGAAGCATTTCTGTGGCACAATTCTTTAAGGTACTATTGTTCTCTACTATGAGAGATACTGAGGATTGAGAAGTTACATAAATAAATTTACTCAAGATTATAGATCTGGAAAATGGAACAGCTAGTATGTATTGCCACTAAGGCTGACTTAGGGGGCAAGAAAAGAAATGCCAAATGACTGTGGGGTCTTGGACTACTTCCCTCTTCCAACAGTTAACCATATGTTATCTTCCTTATTGTGTTTTACTTAGTAATTGTGTTCATCTCAGAAATGAAATAGAATAGTATCCTTAGAAACCCAAATTATTTCTAGAGGGCTTGTATTTTACTGGTGCTATTTGTCAGTTTTGATTTGCAATGTTTCCCAAAGGCCCATGGTATCAAAGCTTTGGGTCCCAAGTTTGGTGCTACTTGGAGGTAGTAGAACCTTTAAGAGGTGGGGCCTTCTGGGAGGTTTTAGGTCACTGGGGGCGTGTTCATTCATACTATTCAAATAGTATGAATCCCACTTTTCCTATTTCTCTTTTCTATTTCCAGGTCATAAGGTGAATGACTTTGCTCTGATAAGTGCTCCCTGCCACGATATGCTGCTTCACCACAGACCGAAACACAAGGGGTCCAAGTAACCATAGACTGAACCTCCAAAATTTGAGCCAAAATAAACCTTTCCTCCTTCTACCTTGTATGTCAGGTATTACAGTAATAGAAGGTGACTAACACATCTGCTGTTAGTCATGTTGCTTTGTATTTGATGAGTGATTACTTTTTCCAAGTTCCAAAAGAGTAAAAAAAAATTTGAGTTATATACCTTTCTTCCATATGATTTTTCTACCATATTGCTGTCACTGTCAGAATTTTCACTCTGAACTGGTTTTGTGAACCCAGTTTTGGGCATTTTAAGCTGTTTGACTAGCTGCTGCTTCTTTTATCAGTCTTCTCATTATGGATCTGTAAAGAATAGATATACAAGGGTTATTTATGCACACATACAATAAAACCTACCTAAAATTTATGTGTCACAATTGGTGCAATTTCTCAGAAAGGATATCCTAACCCAAAACAAGTTTTCACATAACAATTTGAGCTTCTAATTAAGATCTCTTGTTCAAGCCCAATCAGCTTGTCATTAAAAAGAAAAAAAGAGATATACTTTTATACTTCTTCCCACTTTCTCTAAACTAGTAATATTTGCAGTTTTCTGGATATCCAAAAGCAGTGGTAATAGAGCAGTGGCTAAAAGTTTTTCACTATAGCATGAAACCAGATGTGGGAGCTCTAACTATATTTCCCTGGTAGTTCTGTCTTAGTCTCTAAATAATTTCTGAATACTCGAACAAGAACCTGATAGGGCTGATCAGTTACATCTAATTCCCCTTATTAAACCCTTCGTATGAAAAATACCTAGAGTGGTTTCCTTTCCTTCCCTGAATACCCCCAGGTATATGTTAACTTTGTCTACTTATCACTCATGTAATACTTATGTTGTACTGTAATGATTATACAACATTTTCTTTCTGATTTGTTTGGCCTTCTTTCTTACTCTGCAAACTAACTTAACAGGCTAAGGACCTCCCAGAAACTTAGACAAGCTATGCTTTGAGATCTGAAAAAAATTCTAAGGAGTATACATAAAAGGGGAAATTATGAGGCTGGACCTGTTTTGCTGTCTGATGATCTCACAGCTACATATGGCCACTTAAGGTTAAGCTGATAAAACTTAGATGAAATTAAAGTAGCTACTGTACCGTCCACTGCAGATACACATTTCTATTACCATGGAAAGCACAGCAATGGGTTAGAGCAAGGTTCCTGGCCAAGAAGAGCATTACTGGAGTCACAACCAGTAATTACAAGTTACTTTTAACTCCTTTTTCCTATACATTTACTATAAATGGATATCATAGGTGCAAGCAAACTGTCATTCTAATGTGAATTATTAAAACTCAGACACCTTTGGGCTGATGGAGTGGTTCAAATGGTAGAGAGCCTGCTTAACAAGCATAAGGCCCCAGGTTCAACCCTTGGTACCAACACCAAAAAAAAAAAAAAAAAAAAAAAAAAACAGCCAAAAAACCCACCAATCCAACAAACAAAAAACCTCGTCATTTTCAATGGAATTTTAGTAAAATCTGCTGTGCTTGCTAAATCATTCTATTGGTGCTTGAAAATTTGTGTGGTTTTGATAGAAACCAAACCAAAAACTGAACTAAATTATCAAAATTATAGTAAACTGATCTGTGGAGAGTCAAATTAAAACAAACTCAAAGGCTAGGGTGTGGTTCAGTGGTAAGAATAAAGCCCTGGGTTTGATCCCCAGCAACTTACAAAAAACCTGCAAAGTTTAAATCTTTCCTTTTATAGAAGTGGAAACAAACTTGAATATAATAAGCAACTTACTTTATTTTTGAACACAGAAGAGTCTGAGCTTACCTTGGAACCATTCAATTGTTTCAACTATTACTATATACACAATCACTTAAACATAATACTGTTCCCAAAGCTGCTCATGTGTAAAGCTCACGGAATTAAGAGGTATGAGCCATAAAAAAACTGGAACTCAAAAGGAAAACTGAGCTGTATAATAGTAGATAACAGCCTAAGTGAGACTCTGAAGATAAAGCAAGCTGAATCTGAAGCAATACAAGATACTCCTAAAGAAGCATCATGAATATTTTTTGAGAAAAGACTACAGAGCAGTAATATAATATTAAGTAGATTGTAAATTAGAGAAGATTACATCATTTCTAAATATCTTTATTTGGAAAAAATTTAGCACTAACATTAATTATAATCAAAATTATATTTCAAAAATATTACTTCAATCAAAAAGTATTAAGAATTTAATATGAAGTTACTTTAGGCCCAATGTAAACTATAATCACTAGAGCAACCATTACACGAACTATACAAAAAGAAAACAAAACTCACACTAGATAATTAAAATAGGATATTTAAAAATGTAAAAATAACCCAATAGAAGGCAGGAAAAGGAAAACTAAGAAATGAAATACAGGGGAAGCCAGGCACCAGTGGTTTACCCTGTAATCCCAGCTACTTGGGAGGCTGAGATTGGGAGGATCAAGGTTCAAGGCCAGCCCAGGTAAATAGTTCTAGAGAACCCATCTCCAAAATAACCAAAGAAAAATGAACTGGAAGCATGGATCAAGTGGTAGAGTGCCTGCTTTGCATGCAGTAAGCCCTGAGTTCAAACCCCAGCCCCACCAATAAATACATACATACATACAAAATAAATAATAAAATGGATCTAAGCCAAATGTATCAATATTATATGAAACACAAATGGTTAAAACCTATCAACAAAAACACAAAGACTGTCAGAAGAAAGGAAAAGAATGGACAAGAAGAAATTCACTTCAAATATGGTATATCTAGGTTAAAATAAATGAATGGAAACAAATACACACGTAAGCCACTAATCAAAGGAAAGCTGAATGGTTATATTATTATCAGACAAAACAGATCTCAGAGCACAGGGACAATACATATTACACAATGATGAAAGGGCCAATTCACTTAGACATATTAATCTTATACATGTATGCAACCAAATGACAGAGGTGCAAAAAACTGACAGAAAGCCAGGCGTGGTGGTGCACACTTGTAATTCAACCACTGAAGTGGCTGAGGCAAGGCAATGAGGATTATAAACTTGGGGACAGCCTGGGCTACACAGAGACCCACTGTCTCAAATACCTACAGACACAGACACACACACACACACACACACACACACGCGCGCACACACGACAGACTGATAGAATAAATTAATTATTATAGTTACAGGCCTTGACTATACTCTCATTAAGAAAGTAAATTAGCAAAGATATAAATAATTGAAATATGCCAGCAATAATAGCTTTCTAATCACATTTACAGAAAACTCTTAACAGAATACTCACGGTTTTCAAAAGCACCCAGGATATTCACCAAAGATAGGCCACATACTGAATCATGAAAAACATTTTAACAACAAAATCTTTTTTGAGACATAGTTTTACTATGTGGCCTCCTACCTAAGTCTCCCAATTACAGACATGTGCCACATTCCCCGACATTTTAATATAAGTTAAAATATTTTAAATCATAGAGTTTGTTCTTAGAAAAAAGAAGTCAGAATCAATTACAGAAGGATAAACAGGAATATCTCTAAGTTTAAAAAAAGGCAAGAAAAGTCAATGATACTGAAAAATGATTCTTTACAAAAATCAAAACTGGTAATTTTTTAGACAGATCAATTAGAAATAAGATAGAAAATACGTATTATTGTGCTTCCTTCGGCAGTATATACACTAAAATTGGAACAATTCAGAGAATATTAGCATGGCCCCTGTACAAGGATGAGATGCAAATTCATGAAGCATTCCATATTAAAAAAAAAATACACATTACCAATGTGAATAATGAAGGAGAAAACATCACTACAGATCCCACAAACACGTAAAAGAAGGGAATGTTATGAACAACTGCATGTAAATAAAATCAGTAAGTTAAATGAAACAAATCCCTTGAAAGACACAAATCACCAAATCTTACTGAAGAAAAAGACAACCTTGAAAAACCTGTATTTATTGAAGAAATTAAATTTATAGTTAAAAACAGAAAACACAAGGTGCAGATGGCTTCAATGGTGAAACCTATAAAATGTTTAAGGAAGAAATAATGCCAATTTTACACAAATCCTCCTGGAGAAAAATGGCAGGAACACATTTTATGAGTCCATTATTATCCTTAATACAAGCAGACTAAATCTTTTACAAGAAAACTACAGGCCAATATGGCTCATATGTGTAAAGAAAAAGAACTCTTAGCAGGGCACCAGTGGCTCAAGCCTGTAATCCTAGCTACTCAAAAAGCAGCGATCCAGGAAGGTTTGCTGTTCAAAGCCAGCCCCAGGCAAACAGTTTGAAACTAGCCCCAGGCAGACAGAGACCCACCCTATCTTTAAAAAAACCCATCACAAAAAAAGGCTGACACACTGGCTTAAGCGGGAAGAGTGCCTGTCTTAACAAGTGTGAGGCCTTGAGTTCAAATCCCAGTGCCACCCTCCCTCCCAAAAAAACCTAACCAAAATAAAATCCAACTATATATAAAAAGGACATTGCATTATGACCAATGGACATAAATCACTATTTAAAAAAAAAATAACTCTGTAAGCTAGAAATCAAAGGGAACTTGAATACTTGAATGCTTTCTTTTCTAAGATTGATAATGAGGCATTTGTTGTTTGCTCCCACCACTTCTATTCAACATTATACTTACTGATCACCCTAATTAGTTCAATAAGGCAAGCTAAGAGACCTATAAAAGTTGAAACAATTCTGGGAAAAAAGAATTGTATGATTTCCTTTCATACTTACTCTAAGGACAGAGTAAGCAGGGTGCCAATGGCTCAGGCCTGTAATCCTAGTTACTTGGGAGGCTGAGATCAGGAGGATCACAACTGGAGGCCAGCCCAAGCAAATAGTTTGACAGAACCCATCTCCAAAAATAACTGGAGCAAAATGGACTGGAGGTGTATAGCTCAAGTAGTGGAGTGTCCACTCTGAACGTGCAAAGTTCTGAGTTCAAATCTGGTCCTATCAAAAAAAAAACAAAACAAAAGAGTAAGCAAGAAGTGTTCACTAGTGTAAATACAGACATGCAGATTAGTGAAACCTAATAAAGTTCACAAATACATCTATACACACACACACACACACAAACAAACAAAACTGATTTTCAAACAGCTATTATAAAAACAATCAAAGGAAAAACTAAATAAACTGGACTTTGATAGAACAATAATGTCGCCATTTCTAAATCTGTGGCCATTTTACCCTCAGACCTCACTTGAGAAACTCCCAAGAACAAATTCCCGTGCTCTAAGACAGCCCCACCCCTACCAGAGACTGCCATGTACGTGCTAACTTCTTTAACCTTCCTCTTCT